CTTTTAGGTTCAAGAGAGAGTCACAGGGGAAGAGAGGAAGAAGGAGGATACCACCATAGGTTAGCATGGAGAAAAAAAACCCACATGGGACTGGAGAAGGGACTCCAATGATGGTGTGGAAAGATCCAGATAGAGAATGAAAGCGAGTACCATGGGGTTATGGATGAAAGGTAGTCCAATTTAGGAGGGTTAAGGTGGATGGCATTGGATGGGGGCTGGGAGATGGACGGTGAAGATGTTGAGGCTGTGAGTGAAATATCTGCCCGGCCCAAGGCGAATAAGGCAGTTATAAATCTAATAGGTGTCTGTTTTATTATTTCTGATAGCAGGTTAAATAATACCGCTGTGATAATCTTAGGGCTAATAATAAATAATATGTAGCCCAACATCTTTCTATTATTTACTATTATTATTCTATACTATTATATTCTGTTCTTTACTGCAGCACACGGGCCTGCTGAGACCCCTGCTGTGTGGAGCCGGAGACTCTCTGAGTGCTATAGGTTCCATGGCCCACTGCTGTGCCTGTTGCTTTTCTTGTAGTGAAACAAAATGCCTGACATAACTGAAATGAGGCTCCGGGCATGGGTGCTTGCCAGAACGTCACAGTGGTGTATGAGAGAGCTTCTGGAAGGGGAGTGGGGTGTTAGCACACCCCCAAAGACCAACCTCTCACAACCTACTTCCTCCAGCTGGGCCTCATCCCCTGAAACTTCCAGAACCTTTTAAAACAGCACCACCAGTGGACCTAGGAGTCTCTGGGGGACGCTCCACACTGAAATGGTAACACCTGCTTGTCAGCACCGGCCACCAGGTGCATTGCTGTCCCTAATTGCTGCATCTGAAAAGGTTGATAGACTTACACAGAATCCTCTGGAGCAGAGCTATCCCTGGGTGAGGACTGTTGGCCAGCAACCAACTCTGTCGGCACCAACACTCACATGTGTCACATATACACACTCACACACACACACACACACACACACACACACACACACACAGATTTTAACATAAAAATAAGTCTAATTAAAAAAATCCACGGCACAGGCAATCTCTGGGTCTTCCCTCTAACTTCTGTCTTTCCAGCTTTGTAAAAGAGGTTTGTTTTTTTTCCCCCCTGTTTGGGGAAAAATGGGGGAGTCTCACAGACTCTGCCTGAGGCCATAGCTGTGTGTCACCTCTGTGTGCCTGCAGGTATCTCCGCTGTAGCATGGAGCCTGGAGGAGAAGCTTCTGGTGGCGGGCACCCAGGATGGCGCCGTGGTCGTGTGGGGTGTGGAAGAGCAGCAGGTGGTCCATGTTCTCACGGGACACACAGGTACCCAGGAGGGGGGGGCCTGCACAGTGTCCCAGAGTGCCATCACCCTCACACATGGACATCCTGTGCTCATAACACTTCCCACAGGTGGTAAACACAGGGGCTGGAACGCTCGGTCAGTGGCTAAGTGTACCAGTTCAGTTCCAGCAGGCGTGCTGGCGGCTCACACTGCCTGTACCTCCAGCTCCAGAACATTCAACGCCTTCTTCCTGCCTCTTCAGGCATCTTCAGACACACAAAGATGAACACACACGTAAATAAAAGTCTTTACAGTAGTTTAGCATGGGGGCCTATTGATGAGCCTTTACCTGCTGAGCCACTTCACATGATGAAGTCTGACGACCTGAGCTCAATCCCCACAGTCCATGTGGTGGAAAGAGACTAACTCCTGTGAGTTGTCATCTGACTCCACACTCACACAGACACTCACACACGTACACTCATACATACAGTAAAAATAATAAACTTTAAAAAGGCTAAAAAGCTAGGCTAGGCTTTAAAAACTAAATATTTAAAAACTAAAACAAATTTTATTAGCAGCTATTGACCACGTCAGGACATGTTTCCATATGAAATGTTAGGTGTTACATCTATCTGGTTGTTTTTGTTTTTCAGTTTTTCGAGACAGGGTTTCTCTGTGTAGCCTTGGCTGTCCTAGATTTGCTTTGTAGACCAGGATGGTCTCGAACTCACAGAGATCCTCCTGCCTCTGCCTCCCTGAGTGCTAGGATTAAAGGCATGTGCCACCTCAGCTGGCACATGTGCCATCTATAGCATCTTGGATTATGTTCACCTCCCTCTCCTGCTGGGTCCCCTCTCTTCCCAAGCATTCTCTCCCTGCTTTCCTTTATGGGACGTGGGGCATAAGGCGTGGGGTAAGAACCAATGCTTGTCAGTAGGGTCATTTACAGGGCACAGGGAGAAAGGTAGTTACAGGAGGAGCATGGGCTCCTTGCAAATGACTTTGCCAGTGAAGAAAACACCTCCCTCCGCATCCACCATTGTCTGCCTCTCAAGTGCCAAGGGAGCCACAGGGCCTGCTGACAGAAGGTGCGGATCTCCGTGCACCATGTCTCTTGGAGTTACAGACGGTTGTGAGCCACCATATGGTTGTTGGGAAGTGAACCCGGGTCCTCTGGAAGAGCAGTCAGTGCTCTTATCTGCTGAGCCATCTCTTCAGCCCCCTCATGTTATTCTTAACTGAGACTGTTAATCTCTTGATGGAAGGAACTGCAAAGTCATATTGTCAAGGAGAGTATTAATCACATTATCAAAGGTATGATGAGGGAGGAAAAAAATCTAGTCATTTCTGCAATGTTTCTTAGTCCATTTTCTGTTGCTCTAATAGATACTATAGACTGGGTAATAATCACCACAAGTTTATTTGAGTGATGGTTCTAGAGGTTGGAAAACAAATGATGAAGTTAGTGCACCTAAAGGGCTGTCTTCCTCCATCCCGACATGATATCTGCGGCCGTTTTATTACTCTGACAAAATCCTCTAGCAAGGGGCTGCAGAGCTAGCTCAGTGGCTAGGAGCGCTTGCTGCTTCTGCAGGCGACCCAGAGTTAGTCACCAGCACCCACATACCACCAGTTCACAGCATCTTTAACTACAGTTCGGGAAGATCTGTAGTTCAATGCTCTGTTCTGAACTCCAGAGGCCCCAGGCACACACATATACACATAAAACAAAATAAATACATTTAAATCATTTAAAAAATACTCTGACAAAAAATCAACTAAGGGGAGAATGGGACTTATATGGTCACAGTTCAGGTCACAGTCCATCACATGGTGGGTGGGTCTCCTTGCAACCGTGAAGGCAATCACAGTCCTTACACAGCTCTGCCCACGAACAATCCCTCATTCCCCGATAATTCTAGCTTGCATTAAGCTGACAATTAAAGGTTTCTGTCATTTATAGCAAGGGGACATTCAAAAGACAGGAGAGGGGACCAGATAGCCCTTCTACCCCTACTCTAGTGACTGTGGTACCAATCCATTCATGAGCTGCCATCATCTAATCAACTTTAAAAGGTTCCTTCTCTCCGCACTGTTGCAATAGGGACATGAATTTTGAGGGGAGACTTTTAAGCCACAGCAGAGCCTAAGGGAGGTTTTATTTCTGCTTCCTATCTTCCACGGGCAATCTTCACCTATCAAAGCAATAAGAAAGTCTGCTGTATCAAAATGTTAGGCCCAGCACAAGCCTAATTTTTAGAAGCGATGAAGAGAACTCAGGAGACCAGATCTCATCATTGCAAAATCGCAAGAAGTTTATTTTAACCATTGCACAATGGGGTCACCCCTGCTGGGAGACAAAGGCCTTGGGTTTTTAAAAGACAAAGTGCAGGAATTTTGAAGTTGCAGTCTTGGCAATTTAGGATTGGATGAGGAAGCTATAAAGTAAGACAATTGGTTAGTCTTAGGTGCTCAAGCTTGGCCAGTCCTGCCAAGTGTGGATGCAGCTGCAATTGAAGGTGGGGTGGTTAGCTCATCCTTGAAGATCAGGGTTGCGGGCTTTTGGCTGGAGGTCAGGAGGTACTCAGAAGAAGGATTGAGGCCATCTGGGTTGGTTGCTAAGAAACAATATCTCGAAGACAAGGGTCTGGTCGTTCTTTTTGCTGAGTGAAGGCCATTGCTTGCTTGATTTTTTATATCTGTCCTCACAGATAGGGTCACATTTCTCCGTTCTCTGGAAAGGTACTAAGAGGCTTTAGCTTAACCTGGACCTAAAACTCAAAACTAGGCTTTAGAAGACAGACAGGTTACAAAGTTAGTCTGATCCTTTCAAAAACATCCAAGCATTTTACATTTTAAAAATTATATCAAGGGGCTGGAGAGACGGCTCAGTGGTTAGGAACTCTGGCTGTTTTCCAGAGGATCAGAGCTCAGTTCCCAGCACCATGTCACAGGCTCAAAGCGCCTGTGACCCCAGCTCCAGGGATCCAGAGCTTTCTTTTGGCCTCTATGGGCACCACGTGCATGTGCACAAACCCACACTCACATACATTAAAAAAAGTAAAATTGAAGAATAACAACCCCCTGGGCATAGTGGTGTACACCTTTAATCCCAGCACTTGGGAGGCAGAGGCAGGCAGATTTCTGCCAGCCTGGTCTATAGGCTAAAGTTTCAGAACAGCCAGGGCTACATGGAGAAACCCTGTTTCGAAGAACCAATAATATCCTTTTTAAATGATGCTAAAATGTGGTATAAATGATGCTAAGGCTAGGAAGATGGCTCACCAGGTAAAGGAACTCACCTCACAAACCTTGAAAACCTGGTGACCTGGGTTTGTTTCCCAGAACACATGCAGAGGTGGACAGTGAGAAAGACTGCAGAATTTGGGGAGTTGGGGAGTTTGGTTTATATTATTTCAGATTAAACATGTAATATTTATGTGTATATATTATAGATAGATGAGAGGTAGATTTTTTGCCACATTTTTGCTTTTTTGTGTTTGTTGTTGTTTATATTTAGAGAGTTTTATGTTATAATTGGGCCAAGGGTTGAGAAGTAGCTGTTTAGTTTTTTGTTTTTGCTTTGATACAAAGTTTTTTTAGGTAGCTCTAGCTAGCCTAGAACTCTCTATGTAGACCAGGCTGGCCTTGAACTCACAGAGATCTTTCCATCTCTGCACCATCACACCCAGAAGTTGTTTGGATCTTTGAGACGGAGGTAGAAACCAGATAAACTGTCCCCAGCTAACATGCCCTCCCACACTGTGCCTACCCCAGCTGAGGTGAGGTGTGTGCAAGTGTTTGCTGAAGGGACTCTCGCCATCTCTGCATCAAAGGATCACACCCTGCGCCTGTGGAGCCTGCTCTCTGGCCAGGAGAAAGTCACCATTTTGGACAGAGGCTCATCAAATTCCACAGAGCCTCAGAGCTGGGACCTCCATGTGGATGAGATAAACAGACTCATATACTCAACATCTGGCACAAAGGTAACAAACTGGGTTCTCTGTGCTTGTGTGTGTATGCATGCGTGTAAGCGAGAGAGATAGACACAGAGAGACAGAGAGAGAGACAGAGACACAGAGGGAGACAGAAAGAAGGGTACAGCACCACCCTGGTTGTGGAGGAGCTGGTTGTGGAAGCATACAACTAGAATCCTAGAACTTGGGAAGCAGAGGCAGGGGGATTGTTGTGTGTCACAGGCCATATTGTATGTTTGTTTGTAAGAGAGAAGGTGCTGGGGAGGCAGCTCAAGCGTAAAGTGCTATATAAGCATTTATCCCAGAACCCAAGTACAAGCCAGGCTGGGGGCACCGTTGGCAATCCCAGGGGGGCAGCCTGGGGTCCCCTGTCCACCAGCCAGCCTAGCAGAGCTACAGCTTGTTGAGAGACTCTCAAAAGATGAGATATAGGGCTTGGCAAGATGTCTCAGCAGGCTTGCTGGCACATCTGATGATCTGACTTCAGTCCCCCAAACCCACAGGGTAGAGTGAGGTGGGAGGGCACACGGGGTGTGCACATGTGCCGTGGTGCACACCGTGAAGCCAGAGAACACTTGGCTATCAGTCCTGCTGTCTGCCCTGGTGAGGGCGAGCTCTCCCGCTGCTGTTACTGCTGCAGGCTTCAGGTTGTTGGTCTGCCAGCTTTCAGAGGTTCTGTCTTCAGCGCCATCTGCCTGTGGGGCTACAGACACACCCTGAGATGTGTAGATTCTGCAGACGCGAACTCAGGTCCTCTTGCTATGTGGCAACTGCTCTTACCCACCGAGCCGTCTCTCTGCACTGCAGATTTTACTTTTGCTTTCCTCTTCAGTAGCAGGCTGTGTTGACTGGTGCTATTTGTGTCTGAGTATTGTTTATTTTATGAGGGCTCTTTTGCCTGCATCTGTACACGTGTGTTCACGCCAGCATGTATGCACATGATGTGTGCTCACGTGGGTGTGCATGCGTGTGGGTGGGGGGTGCAGCGTGTGTGCACAGTGCCCACGGAGGCTAGACAAGGGTGTGGGACCCCCTGGGGCTGGAGTTACATAAGTAACTCTGGAAGAACAGGCAGTGTTCCTAACCACTGAGCCATCTCTCTAGCCATTCCTGAGTCTTTGAGAGGTTCTCAGGTAACGATATCATTTTTTAGTTGGATTCCATCTGTGTGGTATGAATCCTTTCAAATGCATTGAAGTGTGTTTTGTGATCTCACTTAGTAAATATTCCACTTGCATCTAGATCCCACATCTCCCAGTGTGTCTGTCCTGTCACACACAGCCCTGGCATGTGATGTAGTGCGGAATGGAGACTCACAATCATAGACTAATGGCACACACCTGTCATCCCTCACTTGGGATGCTGAGGCAGGAGGACAAAGAGTTCAAGGCTATTGTTGGGTCAACCTGGGCTACATGAGACCCTGTCTCAAAAAAAGAAAAGAAAAGAAAACCTGGGAGGCAGAGGCAGATAGATCTCTGAGTTTGAGGCCAGCCTGGTCCACAGAGTGAATTCCAGACAGAGCTACACAGAGAAACCCTGTCTAAGAAAAGCAACAAACAAACAAACGACAACAACAAAAGCCGAACGGGCTGGGGGTGGGGCTCAGTGAAGGTGATGGCACTGTGGAAGCCTGAAGAACTCAGCGTGGATTCTCAACAGCGCAGGAACACTGTCCACGGCAGGGCGATCTGCAACCCAGCACTGAGCTCTAGCACAAGGCATGTGTGGATGCCGGGGCACGATGTCAGCCTCTCCTGCCCTGTTTCAGTGAGAGCAGAGAGCAGACTACAGGGTCTTCCTAGTCACTCCGAGAGGGTCTCTTGTTGAATGTGGGCTGCACTTATTTGTCTGATGGGGTCGCCTTCCACATGCTGGGTGCCAGCAGCCACCGCACCTTTACATGGGTTCTGGAGCCTGAAGTTTGTCTCCAGGCTTGCACGGCACACACCACACGCATAGCGCTGTATCCACTCTATCTGCCGCCTGTCTCCCAGTGCCTAACATCTTTTCTTTTGGTCTTTAAGGCAGGGTCTCATGGTATAGCCTTGCTTCCAACTTGTGGCAACCTTCCTGCCCCTGCCTCTAAGTGTGAGGCCGGGCTTTAACACCAACATCTTAACTTTTATTTGAGGTGTGTGTCCGTGGCACATGTGCAGGTCAGAGGGAAACCCGCAGAACCACGTCTCCTCCAGACATGTGGGTGTCAGGGAGCAAACTCGGATCATCAGGGTGGCAGCAAGCCCCTCGACTCGATGAGCCATCTAGTGGGCCCTGTCATCAATAGTTTATGTAACAAGGGTACATTTGTCACATATAGGACACCAATATTGATAACTCCTGTCAACTAGACCTGACACTTTGTTCCATTGCTATCAATTCTCCCATAATATAAGACAAAAAACAAAAACAAAACCTGCCAGCATTGAAAGAAACTAGTTTTGTTGTTGAGACATGTTCTAGCCATGTAGTACAGTGACCCTCTGCCAAACAGAGATGCAAAAGCAGGTGTGTGGGTAAATACCTGGCTCAAAACCTCAATTTTATAAATTACAAAAGAATGTGTACTTGGGAACAGTGACAGGTGATAAATGCTCCAAGCTCCACGGGAGGCGGAGGCAGTTGGCTTGTCTGAGCCTGAGCTCAGGGCTAGCCTAAGCAGTATAACAATATCCCACATGTCACATGGAAGAGAGAGAGAGCGGGGTAAGAACAGCTCTGTCTCTTGACTCTGGAAGATTCAGGCAGGCGCTCCTGCTTGGGAATATCTTTTTTAATTTTCTAAAAAATGTGTTTTCTTTGCTTGCTTGTTTTTATTTTGTTTGTTTGTTTGTTTGTTTGTTTGTTTGAGACAGGGTCTTTTGTAGCTCAGGCTGACCTTGAGCTCACTATGTAGCTAAGGACAACCTCGGTCTTCCTGTTGGGGTGACAGGTTGCACCAGGCTACCTGGTTTGTGTGCTGTGGGTGGATGCCAGGGCTTTGCGGAGCGAGGGGAGTGCTCCACCCGCTGAGCCCAGGTCCCTGCTGATGCTGGCGTGTCTCTTGCTCTTCATGACTTCACTAGATCAGCGTGTGGAATCTGGAAACTTCGAAGTTGGCTTTCTGCATGGCAGGAGATGCCTCTGACCCCTGGGCCTGTGTGGCTGTGCTGGCTGCCCGGAGCCTGCTGCTTGCTGTGTCCAAGGGTGGCACGGTCAGTGTGTGGAGCTCGGCCACAGGGAAACTGCAGGAGAAACGGCAGATGTCGTGCATCACAGGAGAGACACCTACCTGTGCTGTCTCCGTCCAGACGCAGGCAAAGCTGGTCGCTGGCTTCAGCAGCGGTTCTGTGGCTGTGGTGAGTGATTTTCCCCTAGGCTGGGGGAGGGCTCACCCTCTCAAGCCGAAGCACCTGAGCTCAGATGCTCAGCACCCATGTAAAACTAAATGTGGGGCCTCACATGTGTATTCCGGCTCCAAGGAGGCAGAGTTGGGAGGATCCCTGGGGCACCATGACCACCCAGTCCAGTAGAATCACTGAGCTCCAGATTTAGTGAGAGACCCTGTCTCAAAAAATAGAGGGACTGAAGAGATGGCTCCGTAGCTAAGAGCCCTAGATGCTCTTGCAGAGAACCCAGATTCAATTCCCAGTACCCGTATGGTGACTGAAAACTATAACTCCAGTTCCAGGGTATCTGATCCCCCTTCTGGCCTTTGTAGGCATTGCGCGTATGTGGTGCACACAGATACATGTAGACATACATGCATTCATATAGAGGGGAGACACTGAGGTTGACCTCTGACTTTTGTGCATGCTTCATGGCTTCACACAGTATACAGATATCCCAGAACTTGGGAGGAACAAACTGCCTCTTCCTTTATTCGCTGCCCGGTTCCCAGTTTCCATGATGTAACATTCCTACAAAAGCAACTGGGGGAGAAAGGGTTAATCAGCTCTCAGTCTGTCATGGAGGACAAGTAATGATGACAGGAAGTCAGGAGCAGAGGTCCTGAGGAGAAAAGCCTGTGTACCAGCCTGTGTACTCCCTCTGCAGGCCTTGACAAGGTTAGGTCTTTCCACAGTGGCTATCAGCTGCCCACAGGCCAGCCTGATCCAGATAGTCCTTCTCTGGGTTCTTCATTGTGTCAAGTTGACATTAAAACCAACCACCACAGGGCTGGAGACATGTCTCTGATTAAGAGTGCTGGCTGGTCTTGTGAAGGCCCTGAGTTCAATTCCCAGCATCTACACTGGGTGATTCACCACCACCTGAGCTCCAGGGGGAGCCCAGGGCCCCCTTCTGGCCTCTGAGTTTATTCTTTAAAAAGACTAACCCTACCATTGACAGCCCTGTGAACAGTCGCCACAGAGCTGTCCCAAGGCAGGGCTGGCAGTAGCCCCTGCTCTGTACTGTGGAATGACTCCCATGGGCTTATGTGTTTAAATGCCTGGTCCCTAGCTGGTGCCTCGTGGTGAGGTGTTTGGGTACAGCTACAAATGTGTCACTGGACGTGGGCTGGAAGGTATCAGCTATCTCTAATTCTGGCCTAAGCTCTCTGCTCTTCTGATCCACCAAGAAGGGACCAAGCCATGGAGCACAGGCGCAGCGCAAGCAGCCTTCCCCACTGTGAGAGGGGGTGACCTGAAACTAGAAGCCAAGGCGGACCTTTCTTGCTCAAGCTGTGTGGGTTGGAGCAGTGGTGGGGTGCCTGTCCCCTTTGAATTAGAGCCCAGCCCAGCAGAGCCCTACATTCTGGGGTGGGGAGGCACCGCACGGGGCGCACAGTTGTGTCTGAAGCCCTCGACGTGGATGGGGCAACAGCAGAGGTTATGTAAGGAGCTGGGCCTGGTGGCACAGTCTATGATCTTAATACTTGACATCTCTGTGAGGTCTAGGCTAGCCTGATCTACATAGCCAGGACAGCCAGGGCTACACAGTGAAACCCTGTGTCTAAATAAATAAATAAATAAAATTTTAAGAGAAAGGAAGGAAGAAATAGATAAAAAGAGTTGCAGCCACATTGTCATTACTGGGCATAATAGTGGTTACTTTGCACCGGAAATGACCCCCTACACACACACAGTTTCATCCATCACTCCTGGGAAGGGTAGTCTGGTGTCACCTCTTGTTTAACAGGGAAACAGAGACACTAGGGCCTAAGGAACCCCTTCAATGTGATAGAGCCAGTGTGGGGGTAAGCCATACCCCAGCTCTGAAGCTGCGCACACGAGAGCCTGCCTGATGCTCACCTTCCACTGCGCAGGTCTCTGGCAGAGAAGACAGGCTGCTGGAGAAGCTTCCGGAAGCTGTGGGGCTCCTGGTGGTTTCTGAAGACGATTCCCTTCTTGCAGCAGGTAGCTTTCGTTTCTCATTCAGTGTTCAGAAAGGAGGGAAAATTTGGCTGGAGACTGGGTGAGACATGGGTACCTGTTCTCCACCTCCCTGACCCTTCTTCCTTCCCAACTGTGCCCACCATTATTCTCTCCACCTTTGTTTTGTAGAATAGTTTTACACTGTGTGTGTGTGTGTGTGTGTGTGTGTGTGTGTGTGTGTGTGCGCGCGCACGTGTGCGCACAGATGGAGGTCAAAAGAAGACCTGTATTCAAGGGTTCTCTCCTTTCACCCAGCGGGTCCTGGGACAGGAACTTGGGTTGTTGGGTCAGGCAACTGAAGTTTTTTCCCACTGAGCCATCATTCGGTACCTGTGATTACTTTGAAATGAACAGTTTTAGCTTCCACATATGAGTGGAGAGTGAGTCCTGTCTGTCTCCACACCGACCATTCCACACAACAAGAAGCTTTTTAGCTTTGTCCATGTTCCCACAACTGATAGGATTAAAAAGATATCACCCACCATATACACCTGTATCTCCTTACACTGCACACACTGTACCCACGAAAGCACTGTAACAACCAAACACACTGTAACAACCAAACACACTGTATCCACCAAACATACTGTATCCACCAAACACACTGTATCCACCAAACACACTGTAACACCCAAACACACTGTAACACCCAAACACACTGTATCCACCAAACACACTGTATCCACCAAACACACTGTA